CACGTTTTTAGAGTGTAAGTTTTGCACTTGTTTTGTTAAATTTATTTGCGAGTATCTACAAATCCTTTTTGATGGTGTAAGTGGAATTATTTTCTTAATTTCATTTTTGATTGTCCATTGTTAGTGAAATGAAGAACAAAACAATAGTTTTTATTTGTCTGTTGTACACTGACCTTGTGTCCTGCCACTTTGGTGAACTATTTTGTTAGTTTTAATAGTTGTTTGGTGGGTTCCTAGGATTTTCTATATGCACGATCATGTCACCTGCAAATAGAGATCGTCTTGCTCTTTCTTTTCTAAGCTCGATGCCTTCTGTTCCTTTTTCTTGCCTCACTGCTGTGCTGACTAGAAACTCCAGTACGATGCTGAGTGGAAGTAGCAGGGCAAACAGCTGTCTTGTTTCCGATCCCAGGTGGGACACTTTCAGTCTTTCCCTGTTATAGTATAATGTCGGCTGTAGAATTTTTGTGCATGCTTTTAATCAGGCTGAGGAAGTTCCTTCCTATTCCTGGGTTATTGACTATTTTTATGATGAAAGGTGTTGGATTCTATCATATACTTTTTTTGAGCATTTCTAGGGATGATCATATAGTTTGTGTTTTGTGATCCCTTCCCCCCGTTCGTCTGGGGATGACCAACCGACCTCCCGTTCCCGGGAGAAATCCCTCTTGAATGTGGTGCGTGTTCCCTTTTACATGTTGTTGGAGTCTGCTCAGTAGTATTTGTTTGAGGGTGTATTCATGAGGGATATTGGCCTCGTTTTCTTAGGGACATCTTTGACCAGCTTTGGCATTAGGGTAATGCTAGCCTCGTGGGACAAGTTAAGATGTATTTCCTACTCTTGTATTTTTTTTTTAATTTTGCAAAGACTTGGTGTTAATTCTTCTTCGAATGTTTGATAGAATTCATCAAGGAAGCCATCTGGGCCAGGGATTTTCTTTATAGGGAGTTTAAGTTACTAACCCAATCTCTTTTTGTTATGGATCTGTTCAGATTTTCCATTTCTTCTTCGGCTTTCATTACTTGTGTCTTTCTAGGAATTTGTCTCACATGTTTCCTGTCTCACATGTTTCAGACAGGTCCGTGTGGTATTCCCTTATAATCTTTATATTGCTGTAGGGTGGGTAGTGATGTCCCCTCTTTCATTCCTGATTTAGTACTTTGAGTTCTTGCTCTTGTTTTCTTTGTGAGTCTAACTGAAGTTCTGCCAATGTTGTTGATCCTTCCAAAGAACCAACTTTGCTTTTGCTGATTTTCTCAACTTTCCTGTTCCCTTTTTTCACTTAATTCCATTCTAGTCTTTATTGTCTTCCCTTCAGCTTGTTTCTTGCCTTTCCATCCATCTTTCCTTCACTCTTCATTTTCCAGTGTCTCCGAGAGGGAAGCCGAGGCATCCATTTGAGGATTGCTTTTCCATGGAGGCGTTTGCAAGTGTGAGGTCTCTGTGAACACGGCCCTGACTTTGTTCCCTCCAGTTCTATGTACTGCATTTCCACTGGCATTCTTCCCAACGTATTTTCCAACTCCCCGGGAATGTTTGCTTTGATCCTTTGGTTATTCAGGAGTGTGTGGGTTAAAGTCACTTATATGTGATCTCTCCAATTTTCCTCCTACTATTGACTCCTAATGAAATTCCATTGTGTTCCAAGAACATGCTGTGTGTGATCTTAATCCTTTTGAACATACTGCCTTTTTGATGGCGTATGAGCCACCCTGGAGAGTGTTCCCTGTGCTTGAGAAGAGCGGTCCTGGCGTGCTCCAGCTGGGAGGGGCAAGGGGGGCCCTAAGAGCAGGTGCGCAGCAGAGAGCCCTACAAAGAGCCCATGCTCCCCAGAGGAGGCACATCTCAGAGCTCTCACAGCATCCCTCCTCCGTGGAACTTTACAGATCAAGAAGGAGTGTCTGGCCTGCAGAGGGGCTGCTGCTGTGTTCAACATGTCCTACTTTGGGAAGTTCTACTTGGTGGGCTTGGATGCGAGGAAGGCTGCCGACTGGCTGTTCTCTGCTGATGTCAACCGACCCCCGGGTATGACCTCCAAAGGACCATGCTACTTCCCCACTCCAGTGCCAGGAAGAACTCCAAGGACAGAGCTCTGGGCACCTACGTTGGCCGGCTGAACCTTTCCCCTCTAGGCTCCTCTAGCTCATGGCTCTGCCCCTGAGGCTGGCCCCATGCCCCTGCATCTGGACCCCTCTGCCCTCATTGCCAAGTCCCAGCCCTTAGGCCCCCAGCACCTCCTTCCATCCCTCCTGCCCTTCCTCCCCCTCCTCCCTCCCTCCTTCGCCTTTACTTTGTTCCAGAAAGGATACAAGGCAGCAGGCCTTCAGGAAATGTCTCCTAAGACTGTCACCCCCATAGGAATGCTCTCCCCAGACAGGGTTTCCAGAATGAAATGAAAATACAGGATACTCAGAAAAATTTGAGTGTCAAGTAAAGAAGGAACCATGTTTTCCCATAGGTGTAATACTTGGGATCTTCATCCCCTTTCGTATGACCTACGCTCCACCCACGTGTCCACCCACCTGAAAACTCAACCCATCCCCTCTGTATTAGTGTCCTGGGGCTGCTATAACAAAACACCCAAACTGGTGGCTGTAAATAAGCAAACCGTGTTGTCTTACAATCCGGAGGCTAGAAGGTCACGATCAAGGTGGCAGCAAGGCTGTGCTTGCTCTGAGACCATGGGTAGGACCGTCAGCAGCCTCTCCAGCTCCTGGTGGGGCCAATGGTCCTTGGGGTTCCTTGGCTGTGGGTGCGTCCCTGCGGTCTCCGCCTCGATGGCACACAGGCATCTCTCTGTGTCTTCTTCTTCCTATAAGGACACCATCATACTGGATCAGGGCCCACCTTAAAGACCATCTTAATGCGATTACATCTGCAAAGCCCTGTTTCCAAAAAAGGTCACATTCACGGGTCCTCGGGGTTGGGACGTCAACATATCATTTTGGGGGGACACAATTCAGCCCATTACACCATTTCCCCAGCCAACCAGCTCACCTACCCACGTACACACGCACCCCCTGCTCACCTCCTCCGAAAACTCCTGCTGATCCACGTACTGCTGTCTGCCCCCCAAGCCCCGCCCAGCACCCCTCCATCCACTTTCCCCCTCACCCCTCCTCATTCATCCATCCGTCTAGTCACTTATTCAAAACACAGTGGGAACCTCAGCTCAGCCAGCATGGGCGCCCCAGGGTGAGTGAGACGGCATCCCTGCTCCTGAGAACCTTCCAGCATTGTTGGTGGGTGGGCTGGGGGGAGTCCAGGTCCCGGCTCAAGGCATTTCAAGAAGAAAGCACCTCCACTCAGGACCCTTCCTCCTCAGGGGATGGCAGCACTGGGGGACCTGCCCTTCCCTCTCTGGGTCACTGGGTCATGGTGGCGTCACTGCACGGAGGGGCCTTTTGAGGGCCTCCTGTCACGCGGTTACGTAGACTCGGGTGTGCCGAGAGACTGCCCGGCTGAGCGGCTCGCACACCCTGGGTCTTCCTCCTGCCCCCAGGCTCCACGGTGTACACCTGCATGCTGAACCACAGGGGCGGCACCGAGAGTGACCTAACCGTCAGCCGCCTGGCCCCCAGCTCCCAGGCCTCCGCCCTGGCCCCTGCCTTTGAAGGTGAGCGGTGTCCCGCCGGCGGAGCCGTGTTGGGGTCCGTGGCTGCTGATGGCGGGCAGACGGGGAGGGCTGCAATTCCCTGTTGTGCCCGCAGCGGATGGTGCTTGGGGGACGGGAGGTCTCGGTTCAGGCTGAACGTCAGCTTCGTTCCAGCAGCGACCCTGAGCTCTAGTGCTCCGTGGTTCTGTCCTTGAGCCTGTCCAGGCCGCCGTGTTTCAGAGCGGCCACGCCGTGGGGATGCTCAGCGCGTCTGCCCAGGACGGAGTGAGCCGGGGGGAAGGCTCACCGGGAGGTGTCAGCACCTTTCTGTCTCTAGCCTCTGCGCGGGGTCGACTTTCACCTGTGCTGAACCCCAGCTCAGGCTGGGCAGGTCCTTGGAAGACAGGCAGTTCGGTACTCAAGCCGTTACTGGGTGGCCCTCGGCAGTCCCTTCACATTTGCTTGCATGCTCCCAGGGACAGTTAGGTCGGTACCTGTCTTCCCTGTCTGCAGCCCTGACTGTGGCCCTGAGCCAGATCTGCTTCCCCTCACTTCCTCTTCCCCTGCCCTTACCCCCTGGTTCCCGCCGGAGCAGTCTCATCTCTAGTCCTGTGATAGTCTCTGCTAGGGAACAAGAGAGGTGGCTGAGGTTCGCAGAGAGTGGGGAGCCCCTCTTTCTCCAGGCGGGAGCCCCGCTGCCACCTCTGTGAGATTGGATCTGCAGCGGAGAAAGGCGTCAGCTGTGCAGTTTCCGTGTGGCTGACTGTGCCATCCAGGGCAAGGGTCTGTAGGCTAGAGGTGCTCGGCCCGTTCAGAGGAGCCGGCAGCCCCCCGGCTCTGGGCCTGGCTCTGTGTGGCCGACAAAGGCAGGTCATTCTCCGTGGGACTCAGTCAGGTCCCAAGGGTGTGCGAGCGAGCTCCGGCCTGGGCGCTGGGAGAGGGAGGTGGAGTGAGGAGCAGGCGAGCTTGAGTCGGGCAGGCGCGTGAGTTCAGTACTAGCTCCTGAGCACTCACCGCGAGCCAGGCACCAAGAGCATAGCCACGAACCCAACCGAGAATGTTCTGGCCTGCATGGAGTTTGTGTTTCTGGTGGGGAGCAGGGGTGGTGGGACAAGTTTGCCTTGCTGGCCATGGAGTCCTTCGGGGTGGACAGGGCTGCTGAGGGCAGGTGGGACTCCTGGGCCTCTGGGGTGGCTTCTGGAAACAGCATGTCCCCGGGTAGCACTGGCCAGCTGGAGGCTATGAGCCTGGGTCAGTGGTCTTATGGCGGGGGCAGGTAGGGCAGGGGGGGCCCTCCCTCCTGCCAGTGCTGGTGCAGAAATCAGGAATGCATTGGGCCCAGTGAGAGCGTGTGTGCTTTGTGAATGAGCTCATCCCCTTCCCGTGCTCACACAGGCTTTACCCTCGGGCAGAGGCAGGGAATGAGGGAGGCTGGCTGGGGCCTCCAGGAGCTCATGGTATGGACAGACCACCATACGGGCAGATGGGCCAGGGGAGCATTAGAACACTGGGATGGCAGAGAGCAGGAGTATGGAGGCTATGGGAAGGAGCGGAGCCAGGATGAGGAAGGCTTCCTGGAGGAGGTGAGGTCTGCCCTTACTCTGTGTCCCTCTGCTCCAAGCCTCAGTTTCACCATCTGGGGCGCGGGGACCTCACTAGTTCCCTCAACGGGGAGCTGTAGTGAAAGCATGTTGTAAACTGAGCCACCGCCCAAGGGTGCACCCACGATGCGCCTTTTGGGGTGATTCTGGGGGATTCCTGGCCTGAGAGTTTGAGGAGCTCTTGCCTTGCCAGGGCCGGGGGACGGCAGGCTCTGGAGCGGGGGAGGGAGAAGGCGCTGATGCTTCTGCATTCCAGCACCTCCCAGTTCTCCAGGAAGGGAGGCCGGGAGGGTCTGCGCTCAGCCTGCCTGTGGAGGTGTGCATGGCAAGGGAGGCACGAGGACACCTGCGTCACATCCCGGGAGGCTCTGCATCGTGCTGATGGGCCCGGGGACGCGGCCAAACACGCGCAAACTGGTGGCGTGCAGACTTTGTTTTATTTTCAGCCTTAAAAACGATACCGTTCCTGCCATGAATATGCACGCTTTGGACGGGGGAGGGTGATTATAGCTGTTACATCAGATCACCGTTAAGTCGAGGGCATGTGGTGATTTGCATTCGACCAAGGTTGTGTACAAAGCAGCTGTCAACCCCAAGCGGGAGCTCGCCTGATCTTTCATATCACAGACGGGAAACGTGCTCGCAGCAGGCATTGCAACAATACCGAAAAATAGAAAATAAAGTCTGGAGCCCCCGGCTCCCCGGCTGGGGCCCGAGCCCCCGGACTCTGCTGGCTGACTGCCCTCTCGGCCATGCCCACTCGAGGAGGCCACTCGTGCTGACTGTGGCCTCAGGACCCAGCGCTTCAGGTCTTTGGTGAGGGACAGTGCCCAGAAAATACCAGGTCCACCTACGACCACCTCTCTGGCACCGGGGGCCCCAGTAACTCGCATCCTTCCGGGAGGGGCCTCGGGCGTCTTCAGAGAGTCACAAGGTGTGTCAGGGCTGGGGCAGAGGACATTGTCGGAATTCCAATGTCCTTTAAGAGTCCCCAGCCCAGGGATGGGTTGGGGAGGGCCCTTGGGGGCTGATTTGTCTTTTTGGCTTCTGTCTCCCTCTGTGCTCATCAGTTTTAAGAGAAAAGAGGAACCACGATCAACCTAGCCAGTAGATTTTTTTATCCTTGGATGCTCTCAGCAGTCCTGTGGGGGCCCGTGCGGCTCTGCCCATCTTACAGATGAGAAAACAGGCTCAGACAAGTAAGAATTGGAGCCAGTGAGTCACAAAACCGCCCCTGGGCCAGGCTTGTCTGGTGCCAAGACCTGTGTGTTTCCCAAGACAGGGTCCTCCTGGGGGTGGGGTAGTGTCCCTGCAAAGCGTCCCCAGAGGGGTAGGTGGCAGGGATTTGAGGAGCAGCCCTTTCTGCCCAGCCCCGTGGTCCAAAGGACGCAAAGGTGCGTGCATCCTTTGGGTATTGTCCTGGCTGGAGGGAGACTGTGGGTTGGGGACAGACGCTGGTCCCCGGGCAGGCCACTGTGGGGAGGGGACGGCGGTGCAGGGTTGGGGTGGGGTACGTGGGCCTCCTGGAGCGGGGGGAATGTTGGAACAAAGTACGGGAAGATGAGTGGCTGAGGTCCTGTGAGGCCCTAGTGAGTGGGGGGCCTGGATGAGGACGGGTCCTGGCCCAAGAGTAGAGCCAAGTGTGTCAGAACTAAGGGGTCACGGGGCAGGCTCTGACGGGCTTTAGGACCATCCTAAGGGGTATGGGAGTGAGGGTGGGGGTATAGCATCGGGGGCTGGGGCCAGGAGGGGACAGATGCAGTCCTCCAGGCCACAGGTGCTGCAGGCTGGGCAGAGCCACAGCCATGGGCGCAGAGAGAAGAGGCTCGGAGGTGGCTTTGGGACGTGGGGAGGAAGGAGACAGCAGGGCTGTGGGTGACCCAGGGCCCGGCCATGTGCCAAGAAGTAACGTAGCTCTGGTATTCAGGGAGGGCTTCCTGGAGGTGAAGGCCTCTGAGTTGGATCTGGAGGGCAGTGGGTTAGGGGAGCAGAAGAGCATATGGTACATGGAGTTCCAAGGTCAGCAATGTCCCAGGGCCCACCTGGATGGGGCGGGAGGAGGGCACTGGGGACCGCAGCCTCTGTTTCTGCTCCTACCCCTGCGGCGTTGGAGAGGGAGGGTCCCAGAACCAAGCTTCCATTGGTGGCCCCTGGTGCAGCCCCAGAAATCTCACATGAGAGCACCTCCGCCAGCAGGTGCTCCTAGAGAGGGCAAGAGGCCCCGCACCCCTTCATCTCCAGCCTGTGGCCACCAGCGGCACCCTCCTTTGCTAGGGCTAGTGAGGCGTGCCTACTTTTTAATTATGGTGGGGGGCTGCCTTACAGCTGTGGGGGAGCCCCTGGGAAGGGCCAAAGGAGAGCACTTGGGGGGATTCTCTGGCCTCACAGGGCCCCTGGCCATCTCCATGGTGTCCACTAGTTACACCCGGGTCCGGGGCTGGCGCTGGGCCTGCGAGGGCCGATGCCCAGACCCAAGAGTGTCCAGAGCCGAGAGAAGCAGGTGCCACGCAGGACCCTGAGAAGAGGATGCCTCCCAGGGCGGACCCAGCCTGGCTGCCGGTTCTGGGCCTTTCTCTGAGGCCCCTCCCACGGTGGCTGTGTGCACCTGGCCCGCAAGGCCAGCTCCAGGCCCATTCCCACTGTGCAGATGTGGAAGCGGCCGAGAGCTCCGGGGTTGCCCGGACACCACTGCTCCGAGGCCAGGGGCCCTGTCGGAATTAATGAGGAAGGAAGGAAAGAGGCTGACGTCAGGGGAGCTATTGAGAAAGCAGAGACAAAGGAGACCCCACTACCCCCAGGCCCACCTCCCCTGGCTCCTCCTGGAGATGTTGCGGGACCAGCGGGAGCCCACTCACCCTAGAGCCCTGCGGATGAGAGTATACAGGCTCAGAGAGGCTGTGTGATGGGCCCAAGGCCACACAGCTATCCCAGGTCCCAGATCCCCAGGGCAGTGGGTCTCCCAGGATGCTGGGCCAAGGCGGGCTGCTCTCCATTCACCCCCTGCCTGGTGGCAGTGTGGCCCAGGCTGTGGACTCAGAACTGGACAGAGTCTGATTTTCTATCATGTGACCTCCATGAACCTCAGTCTCGTTTTCTGAAACTCTGGTGTGGTGGTGAGTGTCAGAGGGGAATCAAGGGGACGTATTTTTTAACCTATTTATTTATTTGAGAGAGAGTAAGAGAGAGAAAGAACACAAGCAGGGGCAGAACGAAAAGGGGAAGCAGACTCCCCTGCTGAGCGGGGAGCCTGACATGGGGCTCCATCCCACGGTCCTGGGATCATGACCTGAGCCGGAGGCAGAAGCTTAATGGACTGAGCCCCCCAGGCCTCCCGGGAATCGAGGGGATATTGCCTATAAAACCCAGCCTGGTGCCTGGCCCCGGCAAGTCCTGCCAAGGCCAAGGGGGGACCTGGAGACCAGGGGCCAGGGGAGTATGGAGAGAAATGAGAGCCAGAGAGGTAAAGGGACTCCCCCACGCTGCCCGGCACAGATGGACAGACAGACGGAGCAGCCTCCCTGTGGCGGGCTAGCGTTGGGGGAGCGTCCCCTTTCCTGGGTCGGGAGCCCTTTGAGAAGTGGGTGAAAGCCGCAGACTGTGCCAGGAGAGTGCTACCTTGGCATGTGGAGCTCCTACACCCTGGCCCCCGCCCCCATCCTCACCCCCGCTCCCTCCTGCTGAGAAGCCAGGGCCCCCAGAGAGGGCTCCTGCGCTCTGCCTTGTGCTGTTCCCTGCTGAGAGAAGAGTACGTCCTCGGGCCAGAGGCCTCGCTGCCCGCCCCGTCCTGCCATCCTGTCCTGAGCCCGGTGCTTCTCTTCCAGGGGACGGCTACTACCTGGCAGTGGGCGGGGCCGTGGCCCAGCACAACTGGGCCCACATCCGCACGGTGCTGCAGGACCAGAGATTCCGGTGCCAGCTCATCGACGGCTCCGAGGACCTGGGCCTGATCAGCATCCAGGGCCCAGCCAGGTGAGGAGCAGGGGGCGCCCAGCCCCTGGGACCCAGCCCCCCGCCCCTCCGACTGCGTCATGTGGGCAGAACCACTGCGGGTCCAAAACGGGATGTTCTGGTTCGCCAGACGCTCTGGTGAGCCCAGAGATGCCACGCCGTCTAAATCCTCAGGCGCTGGAACTCGGAGAAGCCCTTAATGTGAGCGTCAGGCTCAACCATACGGCGACTCGGCATCTGGGGGTTCCGGGGTCGCAGAAGGGCCCGTGTGGGTGTTGGGGGGGTGTCTTTGGGTCTTTGATGGAGTCTAGGAGTTACTGATGCCGTCCCGAGGTGGGCACAGCCAGCCCGGGGTTCCACCTGCTGCGGGGGCTGAGAGTAGTATGGCACGGAGGCCACTGCCCCTGGGCCCAGATGCCTCCGTGATCACCTCCGGTGATTAGGACTGCCGATGGGTGACCCAGTCATTCCTTCGTTCTGTGTTTGCAGAGCGGCCTGCCCACCCGCAAGGCCTCAGAGCCTGCGAGGTCCTCAGCTGCGGGCTGTGCGTGGAGCCACAGAGGGGACCCAGGCAAAGGGGCACCCGAGCAGCTGTGCCCTCCGGAAGGATCCCCCCAGCTGGGCTTCCGGGAAGGGACTCAGGGGCAGGGGACCCGTGGGAAAGAACCATCGTGTTAGCCACCACCAAGTGCGCCTGTGATTCGCCAAGCCCTGCACTGACCCCTCCTGAAACCACCGATAACAGGAGGCGGTTCTAATTGTTCTCGTCCTTTTGGGGGAAGAAAGAGGCACAGAGAGGTAGAGCTCTTTGCCCAGGGTGGCGCAGCTAGTAAGTTTCAGGGCGGCCGGGCATGGGACCCCCCCAGGCTGTCAGAAAGCTGCGGACCCTGAGCACTGGCCCTTCCTGAGGAGTCACAGACCCTCTGCACCTGGCTCAGGTGTTCAATCACTGACCCCACGGCCCAGGTGCACGTCGGTGCGGGAGAGACGCCTCTTGAGCGGTGGACCCCTCCGGACAGAAAGGTGCAGGGGAGGCCCACGTCAAAGGAAGGATGTATTCCCGAGAAGTGGTGGGAACAGCTGGCCCCAGAGAGGAAGAGTGGGTCAGGTATGCACGCTCAGACCCTGCCACGGGGTCCATTTTCCCGGGTGCCTTAGGGCTGGCCAAGCCAGCACCTCCCTGGCTGGGTCCTGGACGGGCCAACCTCCCCTCCCAGGCTGTGTTGTAGCTGTTTTTGTGTGGGCCTTGCTCAGGGGCGCCCGGCAGACAGCCAGGACCTTCTTGCTGAACAAATGTATAGAGTGTGAGCCAGTCGCATACGTTAAAGGTGATTGGCTTCTGTTCGGTGTTTGACCAGTATCTGCCAAGGGAACGTTGGAGCAAAGCCCTGGAGGAAATGAGGGATCAGACTTTGGAGCTCTCTGGAGGGGCGGGGTTCCAGGCAGAGGAAACAGCAGGTGCAAAAGCCCTGTGGCAGGGGTGTGCCCATGAGTGTAGGGAAAAGCAGTGGGGCCGGCTGGAGCAGTGTGGTTGGAGGTGCGCTCGGAGAGCAGAAGAGGTGAGAGCCTGTAGGTCCAGCAGCCTTCTCTCTGAGTGGGGGGACTGAGCAGAGCAGAGACGTGGTGGGACTGGGCTCCAACAGGGTCTCATTGCCGGGCTGGGGAGGAGGCCAGCAGCTGCGTGAGGAGCTGCAAGGGCCGGAGAAGCCGGAACTTCGAGGAGGGAGCAACGAGCTGTGTCCGGAGGACCCGTGGGTCCACGTGGGATGAGGCCCAGAAACTGACCGCTGGGTTTGGCAGCGTGGTGCTTCCAGAGGGCTCAAGGGGGGTTGCGGGACGGCTGGGTGGGAGCGTGTGGAGCCAGGAAGGGAGGAGAGGAAACTGGAGGCCCGGTGGGGTGCTTTTCATCTCTCCCTGGGCCAGCCGGCTCCCATCTGTGGGCGGAACAGGGCCGGGGGTCCTGGCCCGTCCCCGGGGAAACCTCCACACCCTTACCGCTGAGCCGTCAGCCCACAGTGGGCTATTTTTAGTGTGGGGGAGGCGGGTAGGCCGGGGAGGGAGGGTGTGGGCAGCCAGATCAAGGCAGGGCCCCGGGGGGACGGGTCAGCCTCCTCTGCCTCATTAGAAGCAGCTCCAGGCGGAAGCCGGTGACAGCCTCGTCATTCCCCTGGTAGTTCCTTCGCTCCCTGCTCCGAGCGTCCTCTCCTTCTCCAAGAGCGCCTCGTTCCCGCACGAGTGTCTGCCTTGCCGGCTCCACCAGTGGGGCTAGACCTTTGGAGTTGTCAGCCCCTGGACCATGGGCCGTGCTGAGTGACCTGCTGTCTGGCAGAACTCTCTGGAACGTTCCATAATTGGGTGGTCCAGTACCGTAGCCACTAAGCCGTTGGTGGCCCCTCAGCCCTTGACATGTGTGTGGCCAGACTGAATATTTAATTTTAATTCAGTTAAACTCAAGTGACCACGTGTGGCTGGTGGAGACCGTGCAGAAGCGAATGGTCACTGTCCCTGTGGCTCACTGATGCTCCCGAGGGCCCTGGGAGGAGGCAGCACGGTCCCCGTGGAGGACAGGCTGAGGGTGAGGGCGAGTGAGGGGGGTCAGGACTCGAACTGGCGTCTCTGGCCATCGCTGCCTGCCTGCTGGAGGGACAGCCTCCTGGGCCCCAGCCTGCCTTCCGCAGACCTGTGTGCCCGCCCCGATCGGTGCCCAGAGCTGCCCCCAGTGCTGCCGCTGAGCCCCTTCAAGCCCTCAGCTCGGGCGGCAGCTCCAGCCTCCTGCCCCTGCGGGGACACAGGCTGGGAAGACACCGGCCACCCCTGGGGCTGCAGAGAGGACGTGCTCCTGGAAAACTGGGGACGGGCTCTCCGGGGGTGGCACCACGTGGGTGCCGGGGGCGTGTGTTACATAAGGCACAGGCAGCCTGCAGCACGCTGGGCAACTCGGGCCGGCGTGGGTGGGCAGCTCCAGCACCGTGGGGGTGGCCTGGGGGTGGGGAGCCCTCCAAGCGGCGCTACCCTGCAGCCCCAGCGCTCGCCGCTACCCCCCTGCGGGGCTGTCTCCTGCCAATGGGGAGCCCACCCCAGGGCGCAGAACTGGGCTGTTGTCAATCAGTTCTATTTACTGTGTGCCGTCTGCGCCGGGCGCGTTGGGAGAGGAGCCCTGTTGTCACAGAGCGCCTGGTTTCAGGGAGGAGGGGGCAGGTACAACCCATGTGGGAGGTGCCCTGTTGGGAAATGTGTCCGAGCTTCACAGACCTAGACCCAGGGAGTCAGGGAGGGCTTCCTAGAGGAGGTGACAGCTGAGCCAAGACCTGAAGGATGACAAAGGCTTGAACAGAGGCAGGGGACCTGGATGGTGCGCCAAGGAGTAAACGAAGGCCAGGAGGGAGGCCAGGGGGCAAGGTGCCCAGGAAGTGAGGGTTTCCCTGGGTACTGAGGCCTCCGGGCCCAGCGAGGTTTCAGGTGACCTGTTAAGTGTGAGAACGGGGCTCTGTGGTGGCAGGTGGGGGAGGTGAGGAGGGCAACCTCCGCGCTCAGGAAGCTCACAAACCAGCCTCCTGCCCATCGGACCTGTGGCCATTAGATGACTGGGTCGCCCCAGGAGCGCATGTCAAGCTGCTTTCCACGCAGGCTGGGCTCACCTCCCCCATCATTGTTCCTGGCCTTTTTAACGGACTGTATTTTTGGCTTGTGTTCATCTTGGTGTGCTTTTATGAAGACCCTTTCTGTCATTCGTCTGCCTTACGAGGACAGGGACTCGACCTGGTCACTGCAGTATCCCCAGCTTCTTCCTGGCCCAGGGCCCATGCACAGGAATGCTCAGCAAGTGTTTGTTGACTGACTAATCAACCAACTTTGTTCTTGCTCACAGCCGGGCCATTCTGCAGGAGGTGCTTGACGCAGACCTGAGCAACGAGGCTTTTCCGTTTTCCACCCACAAGCTGGTGAGAGCCGCCGGGCACCTGGTAGGTACCACTTGGCTGCTTTCTCCTGGGCTGTGGGCGGCGGCCGAGTGCCTGGGGCTTGGACGTGGGAGCCGGTCTAAGCCTCTGCTCCCCACTGAGAGATGGGGACTAGACATTCCTGCCCACAGGATCCAAGTCAGACTCCCTGCCCCCTCACCCCCCGGGGCCTAGCACCTGCTGGTGGGCTCGCTCCCAGGGTCCTGCCAGGAAACACAGCCTCTGCCTTGCCACCTACACGGCTTCCCATGGCCTCCCCCTCCTTGGAGGCACAGGGCATGGCCTCTCGGGTCAGGGTGGTGTGTCCTCCTTCTGTCACGTCAGAAACGACAGGGCTGGGGACAACAGAGCTCTGCACCCTGAGGAGATGCCTGTCCTTCCCTAGTGTCTTCCCACCCCTGCCCGCCCAACACTGTGGGTATGGGGAGAGGGAGGGCAGCTCCCAGGGCAGGGGATGCACAACCCCTGCCCCAGCCCCAGAAAGCTCAGGTCCTGGGGCCCAAGGATCTGGAATGGTGAGCGATGTCAGGCTCCCTTGGACCGGGCTCTGGCTGGAAACTTCCTCGGAGACCAGGGGCCAGGCTGGGGCCAGCTCGAGGTCAGCCCGTCCCTTCCCTCCACATCCCTGTTGGAAGTTAAGTGGCCTGGTGTCCGATCTGACTCCCCATGGCACACGCGTGCCCTCATCGTCTTTCCAACGACAGGAAGTTTCCATGACCGGGTTTCTCAGCTTCACCCCTGTGGGCCTCTGGGAAGATCTTCTATGTTGGAGGCCGTCCCGGGCGCTGTATGGCCTCCGGCCCATGCCTGGCCTCCCCCCATTCAATGCCAGGAGCACCCCCGGCTGTGACAACCAAAAATGTGTCCAGACATTAGCGCGTGTCCCCAGGGGGCAGGCTCATTGGAGGGAGCGGCTGGTCTGAGAGCGCCCCGCGTGGTGGTCAGGCTGGCGGCGCTCGTGGCCAGGGCTCTGACCAAGGCCCTGCAGCAGCTCGTGATGCCAGAAACCGAGCCCAGAGAGGGCGGTGGACTGCCCGAGGCCTCAGCTAAGCAGATTGGAAAGCGCCGCTACATGTCAGTAAAACGGATGTGCCCGCGGGGGGGGGGTGGGCGGACAGCCGGGCTGGGGGCTCCTCTCCTCGTCCACTTCTCTGAGTTTGTCAGGGGTGGGTGGGGACAGTACCAAGGAATGTTGGTGAGGAGCGGGATCCTGGCCACAGAGGGGCTGGGGTTCCAGGACCAGCTTGGGTCCTATGAGCCAAATAAGCGGCGTGCACTGACGTTGGCGAGGGGGCTGAGGAGGGCGAGGGGGGCTGCTGGAGAGGGTGGGGACCAAGGCCGCCCTGCAGAGCCAGGGAGCACTGACCAGGCTCTGTTCCTGCCTTCTGTCTCAGGAGTGAGCTCAGGGACAGGAAGCTGGGGTGGAGGGGGGGTCTCCGTCTTGTTTCCTGCCTCTTCGGTGCAGAGCTGCCTGCCGGGACCAGAGGGGGTGGGTGTTTTGAGACAGCAGCCCAGCGCGACCCCAGGCCCTGGCTGGCCTCCTGCAGGCTCCGACTGCAGCTGCGCCGTGAGCCCCCGTGGGGCCGGGGTTCGGGCTTGCGGAAGCGTGAAGGGGAGTTGAGAGGCTTGGCGTCCGCTCTGCTCAGCCTGCCTGTGGCTCAGGGGCACTGGGAGAGAGAACCAGGTAGGAGCACTTCCCTTCCCGGCCCAGGCCGCTCCAAGAGAGGCACCTGGGACGGGACTGGTTCCTGGCCAGTGGGCTGCAGCTGCCTCCTGCCCCGGGGGCTGGCCCTTGGCAGCCCCGGCCACCTCCCTAGGCCTGGCCCGTGGCTGTCTGTCTGCACCTTGGCCAGCTGGGCCCGGGAGCCAGGCTGAGTCAGATCTGGGACCGAGGGGAAGTGAGACCAGGCTGCAGGATGAACCTGTCCCCGGGGTAACAGGAGGCCCAGACACGAGGGGAGGGTGCCCTGGGATGCCCGGGTCAGGATCCAGGACACCTACGGGGCTGCTTCTCCTCACTGTCTCCTCTGAACAGGCCTTCCTGGCTTTGTCAAAACGTATTTTATTACTTTGTGAACAAACGTTCGGTTTCCAACCATCAGTGTGCCGCGTGGTGGCGAAGAGGGCAGGGGGCCTGGAGGCAGAGCTGACGTTCCGCACGAGCCCTTTGGGGCGACCCTTGACCTCTCTGGGCCTTCCCCCCTCATGCCGGCAGGCGCATGGGCAGGACCCACACAGGGGGAGGGCCGGCGCACGGGATGCCGGGGTCCGGCTGGAGAGAGGTGGGCGTCAGTGTTTCGCTGTGGACCCAAGGAACGTTTGTAAGCCAGCACCTGTCCCTCTCAGGACCCAGCCGAGCCCGGCTTAGTGGTTTCGTGTTCCTCACAGAACCTTCTTTCCCCGGCCTCGTCCGCGAGGTCTAAGGCAGGAGCGGGACCGCCCACGCATGGTTTGCACACCCAGCTTTATCCCCTGACGGTGGTTGTAAGAGGTTTGTTTTTTGTTTTTTTTTTTTAAGATTTTATTTATTCACTGGAGCAAGCGTGAGAGAACAGGAGCGGGGAGGGGCAGAGGGAGACGCAGACGCCCCGCTGAGCAGGGCGCCCGATGCGGGACTCCAGGGTCGTGAGCCGAGCCAAAGGCAGACGCTTCACCAACTGACCCACCAGGTGCCCCAGTTGCAGCAGTTTTCTGGTTCCTTTAAATGTCCTCCAAGAACCACGTGACCCTCTCCCACCTCGAGCAGCGGCCACGGGTGGGCATTCCTTGTCCTGGGCATCGCCCGGTGCTGAGCTCCCCGTGGGCGGCGGGCCTCTGGCGGCTCCGATGACCGGCCTAAGGCAGATTCCTCAGACCCGGAGTCACACCCAGGAACAGGTGTCCCAGGTCCCCAGTCCCGGCTTCCAGTCACTCCACGCAGTTTTCTTGCCCATCTTTTGGCATCTTCTGCCTCTTCCCCATGCCCGGTGCCGTCCCAGGCCTTCTGGGGAATGAGGGGTGCCAAGGAACAGAGCTTCCTAAACCGGCTCCCGTCTGCGGGAGACCAGCACCCGTGGCTCACATCGGGCCCATCCAGGTTCTGCCCTGAGCCGGGCATTGTAGCCTGAACAGCATTCGCAGCACTGAACGTGCTTTCCCACCTCCACCCCCTGCTCCCCTACACCCCCACTTGGCTCTAGGATTAATTCCCGACACGTTGGCTAGGAGTCCCCTGGTGCCGGGCCGCAGGCTGGGCCCGGAAGCTCTGGGGTCGAAGAGGTGGGCTCACGGCCTAGCGGGGGGTCGGCTCGGGGCAGGGCGGGCCCTGCAGCATAGCCCGCCCTGCAATGGCCGGGGCCGCGTTCACAGGAGGGAGAAGGGAGTCTTGGCAAGCCTGGGCAGCCAGTGTCCCTGTGCTGGGTGGGGAGGGGCTCTGCCCTCATACGGGGGTCCCCCATCCCCCTGCACCCTGGCCCCCTTGGCAAGACTAGAGGAATACATGCCCCGGGCAGCCAGCAGAGGCTCCTTCCTCTCCCCGGCCGGCCAGAAACCCCTGCAAGGGACTGCACCAACCAACGCCCTGGGCCCGGGTGACGCCACCTCACTCCTTAGAACAGCCGATCTCCAAGCACATGGATTCACTGTCCTGTGGGGTCACACCTGCATCCCTGTCCTCGGGTGCCGTGGGGCCCTTAGGGGGATAGTGCCCGGCTAAAACATCTTTGTGCAGGTCCCGGCCTTGGTGCCTGGCCGTGTCGCACACCCATCCTCTCACCCCTCCTGGTCCTCCCTGCTGCTCTCTGGAGGTCATGTCTAGTAACCTGGAGGTCAGGTCACTGCTGTTTGCCCTGTGTGGCCCACTGGGAGGACCCAGTCCTGCCCTAAGGGGCTGGGAGACCCCAGGGGCCCAGCGGGTCCAGCTGTTAGAGACGAGGGCCACGTGGGGCAGGAGTATCGAGGACGGGATATAGCAAATGGTGTGGGAAGTTGGTGCCCCAGACATGCCAGAGTCCTGCCTCCGGTCCTGCCTTCTCCTAAGGGCCAAGGAGGCGTGGGCAGAATGGAGCAAAGGCTTAGTTTCCTCAGTGTTGATTTTACGGGTTTTGCTGACCTCCAAGTGGCCCAGACCCCATGATGGTCCACGATAGTCCAAGTCTAGGACATAAAGACTTTGCCATTCACTGGCCAGTAAGAGGGGTGGGGAGGTCTGCCAGGCAGGACCCCAGGCTGTGGGACCTTGGCTGTCCCAGGCCGCGTGGTGGCCTCCCAGCCAGGCAGGGAGGTGGAGCGTGGTCATCCCAGAACCCAAGAGTCAGGAACAAAGTCACCCCTGTGTTCAGCAGAGCTGGGGGCCTGCAGGCCTGGCTTCTAGTCCTACCCTGACCTTCTGGGACCGTCTCTCCTGGCCTCGGTTTCCCCACTGGCAGCACAAAGCCTAGACAATACCTAAAATCGTTTCTGAGCTATCTCATGAGTCTGTCCAGACAGGCTGAACTCTCTCGGAATCCGGGGGGATTTCGTATTCTCCCGAATAATGCGTTGTACCGGCTTCAGCACGTTCTGGCGCCGTATCCCTCCGTGTGAGGAGGCCCCGGGGCCAGAGGGGTGGGCCCGGCCAAGGCTGATGGAAGGTCCCTGGATCCCAGCCAACCAGATGCAGGAGAGGAATGTGGCTTGTGTAGCCGGCAGGGTCACAGTGCACGGAAGGAGGAGGGCTGGAGCCCAGACCGCACCCGGGCTGAGGGGGTGAGCAGGGCCCTGCCCACCGTGACCCAAACGGCCAACAGATGACCCCAGCCGAGTGGCGTCCCCGGCCGAGCGCCATCCTTGTCTTGCAGTATCACCCCAAAACGCTTGGGCCCCAAGTTCGCACGAGCCTCGCATTCCTAGAGGAGAACAGGGGGCGGAGGGAGCTGGTCCCCTTGGCAGCCGGCTGACCCGATGTCCTCGCCTCCCACGGGTCGGCCTCGAGGCCAGCAAGGTTCCCGGTGGGACGTGCTCTCTCCGTGCAGGGGCCCGGGGAG